CCTCACCCCAAGTTTTAACTATTTTTAGGCAATTAACCCCATATATATTTTGTAGTTAAATAATCATAAGTTGCCCGGCTGGTGTGGTTCAGTAGTTGAACATCGACCTAGGAGGTCACGGTTCCATTCCCCGTCAGGGCAATGCCTGGGTTGCAGGCTTGATCCCCAGTAGGGGGCGTGCAGGAGGCAGCCAGTCAATGATTCTCTCTCATCATTGATGTTTCTATCTCTCTCTCATTCTCCCTTCCTGTCTGAAATCAATAAAATATATTTTTAAAAAACCCACAAGTTATGTCTTTCTTGATTCTAATTTTGCATAAATATATTGATAATTCATAATTATCAATTGATGAGTCATAATTTTGCATAAGTATATCAATTAGGGAGGTATTTCTGAAGGGGAGGGAGTGGAGAGGTTGGCATGGGGTTGTGTAATCGACAGGCTCCAACAGATTAGGTACTTGGGCTTATAATGGGCATTGTTGCCTACCCAGCACTCAGTTAAACCTCCCAACTTAACCCCAGTTTTTGTTCTTGCATCTTCCCTTCTCAGCCAATGTCCTTAAGGAGAAGCTGATCCTACCCTGAATTCCAGGGGTAGGCCTTATTGGAATAAATCCCAGCTCTTGCCAGTAAATGGCTCTGGAACACAGGTCTAAATATTGGTTTAGGAACGGGCCACTGCGACATTGAGAGGAAGTTTACTGAGAGTTTTTGGGAAAGAACTTCACCTTGACCTTGTTGACTAGGTATAAGAGGACTGGGGCTATGCAGCTATTTTACTGGCAGTCTGAGGATAAGGCCTGCAAAAGCGGAGATGGGGACAGAGAGCATGGCAGAGAACAGAGCTGGAGCCCTGACTGAACTATGCCCTTCCCTTTGCCCTTCCTACACCTTACTACTGAGCCAACGACTAGCCTTGATTTAAAAGCAATTCTTACTTGAGATTTCTATTTCTGGAAGCCAAAAAAACACACAAAACCACGTCTTACCATATAGGATTCCAATTTATACTTCCTTAATGTTGTTTATGGTTTGTATTTTTAAACTATAAGGTTTGGAATATTTTTCTAGTTGTAAAACTAATACATACATGCTCATTGTAGAAAATATAGAAAATGTTGACAGATACCAAGAACCATTAAATCCACTCAGCATCTCCTTACCCTAGTACCTGCTATTAATGTTTGGAATTAGTCTTTTCTTTACATAAACAAACTTACATACATATTTTACATATACATTTATCCTGCTTTAGAGGAACTCATAGCCTAGTGGGAAATAGGAAACAAAACAAAAAGCCAAACAGATTAATATCTGTGACTATGCACAGTTATTACCTGTGTTGTTGAGTCAATGACTGCTGGTAATGCTATTCCTTATCTCCACATACCAGAAAAAATCATCAAAGATTTTAAATAATAACTATTAAGATATATTATGTTTTTAAGTGTAAAATAATAGTCTCATAATGTCCATAAAATCAACCAGTTATTAATATGTTCATTTGATTTCCCCTCAGTAGATGGTGTTTCTTCTTATAAGTACCGCGCGCTAACCGATTGCGCCACTGGAGCTCCTGTTTCTTCTTACTTATGGCAGGTTGCACCCTGTCAGTCACTGCTTTGACCCAATCATCATTAGATTTTTTTTTTCTTTGTGCAGGAGAAAGATTCTTTCCTCTATCCTTCAATGTTCTTTCCGCTCATCTAATAATGAAATATACATGAGACAGATTAACAAGAGAAAATAATCAAATTTAATTACATACGTACACACAAGAGACTCAGAGACACCACATACATGAGAGGTTCAAGGATAGAAAGTCCCTGAGCTGAGGATGAAGATGCCTTGTGGCTTCAGAGGGGAGTGAGGTAATATGCAAAATGATAAGAGCAGATGTTCAGTAATTAGTAATTTGCCCTGCCCTATGGATAGTTCATAGAAAGTTAGTTTTGATTAATAATTCTTATTATGGGCAAGGCCCTAATTTTAATTATTCTAGGTGGTTAAAGGGGGGTGGGGCGGAAGTTTCTTTTTTTTTTCCAGAAGTTTCTTATGAGCCTACAGGATTTCAGTTGCTTTAGCTCAAAATAATCCACTTACCACAAAAGCACATCCTAGGGTGACTCGTTCTGAACTCTGACACCATAGTGGTGTATCTAACCAATTATAGTAAAAATGAATGTCTTATATTGATAATTTTGGCAGTACACATGTGAAGGGTTTAGCATTCACCAGTGTGCTGAAGTAGGGCCTTACTAGAATGGAAGTTATTTATCTATCTCTATATATAAAAGCCTAATATGCAAATTGTTCCCTCAGGAGTTTGACCAAGAGACTGGGAGTTCAATCGCTGGCTATGACGTGCGCTGACCACCAGGGGGTGGCGCGTATTGAAGGAAGGCCCCAGCCGGCATTTGCCGGCCAGGCCTAGGGACCTTAACCGTGCACGAATTTCGTGCACTAGGCCTCCAGTCTCTCTCTCTCTATACAAGCCCAAGTGACCATCAGGACTGGAACGACTGGTCAACCCGTTGCTATGATGCGCACTGTCCTGATGCGGAGGGCAGCTGGCCAACCTCCTGTGGCCCCTCACCCTGGCTGGCCAGCCCACCAATAGGCCTCGATCGCTGGCCAGGCTCAGGGATACCACCTGTGCACGAATTGCTATAGTAGTACCAATCCCTTCAGTTCTAAATGTCTTCTAATTTCCATTTTGATGTTTTGACCCATGAGTTAATTGGAAGAGTAGAAATATGGGAGTTTACTTGTTATCTTTTGGTTGTTGATTTCTAACTAAAATACCTAGTGGTCAGAGAATAATGATGCCAATACTTACTCATGTAGAGAGACTTGCTTTATGACTCACTATGTTTAACTTTTGTAAATGTTTCACATATTCTTGAAAGGAATGTATATATCTGCAGTTATTGAGTGAAATGTTTTACATGTATTCATCAAATCAAGCTTGGTAATTGTATTGTTATTTAAATCTTCTAAATCCCTTAAAGATTTTTTTGGTGCTCTTGATCCATGTATTAATTCAAAAGGGTGGCTTTGAACAACAGAAATGTATTCTCTGACAATTCTGGAAGCTAGAAGTCCGAAATCAAGGTATCAGCATAGTTGCATTCTCTCTGGAGTCTCTAGGGAAGATCCATTCTTTGTTTCTCCCAGCTTTTAGTGGCTGTCAGCATTTGTGTGTGTGTGTGTGGCTTCATCACTCCAATCTCTGCCTCTGTAGTCACATTGCCTCCTCTTCTTCTCTGTCTCACCTTCTGTCTCAGATCTCCCTCTACTTTCCTCTTTTGAGGACTCCTGTCATTGGATAATCCAGAATGATCTTCTCAAGATCTTTAATTACATCTGCAAAGAACCTGTTTCCAAATGGAGTAACATTCACAGGTTCCAGGGATTAAGACGTGAATTTATCTTATGGAGGGTTACTGTTAACCCAATGCAATCTATTAGAGAGATGTGTGAAAAATCATCTGCTCTGATGGTAGATTTCTCTATTCTTGTACTTGCCAATATTTGTTTTATGTCTTTTGTGAACGTCATCAGAGATACCTTTATGCCTTTTATCTTCCTTGTGTATTGAATCTTTTATTATGTGAAGACCTCCATCTCCAGTCACATAACCATCCACCTACCTAGAAAGTCTATTGGTGACAAACTCAGCTATTAGTCTGAAAAGACTAATTCTCCCTCTATTATTTTTGTTGTTGTTGCTGGGCATAGAATTTTACATTTCCCCCCTTAGTATTCCATTCAATTGTCTTTTACTTAAAAATGTCCCCCCTTATTTTGTAGTCCCAAAATGTCCAGGCCCAGAGAATTAAAAACGTGTGCTAATTTAAAAAAATGTCTTAATATAGGGGAGCATTGTCTGAAATTCATTCTAAGTTATTGATAAAAAAAAACATTCCATTAGGATTGTGCAGAATATATGGGAAACTATATGGAAAGAAGCTGAAACAAATGTGGACACTGAAGTACATTAGACAGTTTCTTAGCGGCTGAAGTGATTCTTCACTTCACACTAATTACATATTTGTGGAAATAAAGATTATCTGCTAGCTTAAGTGTAATAAAGGGTTTTTCTAGGCACTCCTTCTTAGCACCAGTAGTCAGAAGGAATTCCACAATAAGCAATTATATTTTGATATTACTTCTATTGCTATAATTTGAGAATGCAGAGGGATAAAAAAAATGGAGTTACATAATTTTTTTCTGACCCTCAAGTCTCTTACTCTCAAACTTTGTCGTCTGATTTGTGAAATAGTGCACGAAGCTTAGTGTTTTAAGTTCGCTAAAATTTCTGGCTTCAATGTATGGAGGCGTTAGAAACTTAAAAAAAAAATCCATGAATATTTCAAACGCATGCATTTTTTTAGTCACCCTGCTAAGTTTCAGTTTTTATTCTCGGTTTTGAGGTTTGGGTGGTATGGGCTAAGGCCGCGAGCAGTCCCATAGACTCTCTCTGATAGAGGAACGTTGTCAATGTGCGACTCGAGCACTGTGGTGGCTCCCTAGCTCCGTCCCCAAAACAAGGCCGGGCTTCGAGGCCCTGGACGTGCGAAGGCCCGGTAGACCCGCTGAGCCCCCCAAAAACACCACCGAGAGGGTGGCGGACGGCACCAGCCAGCCAGCTGGGGTTGGCATTCAGCTGTAGGAAGCGGCCCGGCTCTCGGTCGTCAGGGCAACCAGAAGGAGAACGCGCGTGCGCAGTCAGACTCCCTTATGACGCGAGGCCGGGCGGGGGCGGGGCCGGGCCGGGGGCGGGGCCGACGAATGCTCTCCCCGACCTGTCGCCCCTCCGAGAGCAGCCCGGCCGGGGCGGGGCGAACCTCTGCCCTGTTGCTGGGGAGTGACTCACAGCCCCCGCCCCTTTTCGCTTTGCTTTCTCGCACCACGTGCTCTCCCGGCCGCGCCTCCCGCTCCGCTCCCCAACTGCCTGTTGGAAGCTGCTGCAAAATGTCGTGAGGGGCGCTTCCGCTTTACGGCTGCCTCTCCCAGACGCGAGCCCGGGAGCGCCCACCGCCGGCAGCCGCGTCTCCCAGAGCCAGCCCCGCGGAGAGTGAGCGACTCGGCGCCCCGCCGCCCTCCCCGCCGCGCCCGTTCCGGCCCCCGGCGATGTGACCGCGAGGAGGCGGCGCTGCCCCCTGGCCCGGGGGTCGAGACGGGCGGCAGGTGCCTGTGAGGCGGGCGGGTGCTGGGGGCCGGCAGGATGGAGGAAAGCATGGAAGAGGAGGAGGGGGGCAGCTACGAGGCGATGATGGACGACCAGAACCACAACAACTGGGAGGCTGCGGTGGACGGCTTCCGGCAGCCCCCGCCGCCCCCCTCGTCGATCCCGGCCCCGGCCCGCGAGCCGCCGGGGGGACAGCTGCTGGCGGTGCCGGCGGTCTCGGCGGACAGGAAAGGCCCCAAGGAGGGGCTCCCGTTGGGGCCGCCGCCGCCGGAGGCCAATGGGGTGATCATGATGGTGAAGAGCTGCGACGCGGCCGCGGCCAAGGCGGTGCCCGCCCCCACCCCCAGCTCCACCATCAACATCAACACCTCCACCTCCAAGTTCTGTGAGTCCCGCCGCCCCCCCCCCCGGACGCCGCGCCCACCCTCTTCGGAGCAGCCCCGCTTCCTTTGTTTCAGGCCCGGGCCTCCCCTCCCCTCCCGTCCCGTCCCCGCCTCCTCCCGCCCCCCCTGTTGGGTGCCTGCGGCCCCGGCGTCTAGGGTTACCTGGCCTAGAGCGGAGCCCGGTGCGCGCAGCCCGACTTCCACGGACGCGAGCCTCCCGCCGCCGGCTGTCACTCAGCGCGAGGAAGCGCTTCTCTCCTCCGCACCCCCTCGAAGTTTCACCCTCACACGGGAGAGGACGATCAGGCAGCTTGAGTTTCCGTCGGGAGAGGCCTTCCGTAGTATTATTATTATTATTATTATTATTATTATTATTGCAGCCAGAGAGGAAAATCTGGCACCTTGTGTTCTTGTGCCGGTAGCCAGTCTGCGTTAAACAAGTTGGGGGTTAGGAAGCGGACCGTACCCGCGCCCGCCCTCCCTCCTCCGGTGTCGGTGCACCTTCTGCATCCGAGGAGGAGATGCGGGAGGCGCCCGTGGAGTGAGCCGGGCAGCGGGCGCGGTGGCATCCGTCCCGACGCCGGTAATCGGTAACATTGTGGTCCAAGTCCGCGCTGGTAAGAGGAAGCCGCGCAGCATGTGTCCAGATCCAAACTTGGGCTGCGTGTTGGACTTCCGTTGTAGCGATGTGCCTTCCCGTGCTGCTGCAGGCAGGGAGCATTAAGACCAAAGTCTGGAATCCGAAACTGCCCCAGTCGGGAGGCATGCTCACAGAGTTGGGGGGGGGGGGGGGAAGTGATTTTGCTTTGAGAGGGTCAATGTGAAAATTGACCATCACAGGCAGGTTTTTCTCTTCTATTAATAACTGCAGTTTTTGATTGGCATCCGGTAAAGCAACTGGAGATTGCGTTTCTAGTTACTAATTTTATCAAACTGCACCAGGAATTGCCCAGGTAGCATTGCAGACAAGGATTGCTTTGATTCAGATAGATGATCACTGCCTTACACTTTCGTGTGTGTGTGTGTGTGTGTGTGTGAACAGCTCATAACCTTACCTCTTCAAGATACTGCTTTAATCAAAGGCATTCATGTGTAGGTATGGTTGGTAAGATCTGTATTTGATGTTTCCCTGTTGTGCATGCACGAGAGTAATACTTTTATGTACAGTTTGTGTGTTGAAATCTGTGTGGTGAAAGTAGACCTTGGACAGAGTGGCAGGGTGACTTACCTAAATGCTGGAGGAAGCTTGCTTTAGTGCGAACACAGTTCTATGAAGAGTTCAGAAAACAACATAAAAAAGCAGAAAGTAGTGAAATTAAGGAACAAATGACTTGCCAAACCAAAAGATTGTTCTTTGAAGATTAGTGAGCTTAGACAGACCTGTGTTTACAAGATTGATCAAGGAAAATAGATTGCAAATAAAGTAAGTGAAAGTGGAAATAACTACAAACAGATTTAAAACGTAATTTTATGAATTTCTATAGGTTAATAAATTTGAAAGCCTAGATGAAATGTATAAATACTTAGAAAACTATAAACTCTGAAAGTTGGTAACAGAAGAAAAAGATAGCTTGAACTGCTTAATAAATATTTAACAAACAAATGGTAGTTAAAGACCTCCCCTTTCAAAAACTCTGGACCCAGATAATGTTATAAGTGAGTTGCATTGAACTTTTAGATACTAATACTTAATTCATTTTTACAAGTTGTTCTGGGAAATAGAAAAAAAAAAGAGAGGTGCCAAGTTCATTTTATGAGGTTAGTGAAATCTTGGTTCTAAAATTAGGTAGGGATAGTATGAGAAAATTAGAGATCTGTTGCACTTATTAGCAAAGATATGAAAATCCTACACAATATACTAGCTTTCAACACTGTTGAGGTCCAATAGTGTGTTAAAAAAATAATGATCTATAGAGTTTGTTTTAGAAATGTAAGCATGGTTTAACATTTATCTATTAATGTAATTTATCTCATTAATAGGCCAAAAGAGAAAAATCATGATTATCTTGATACCATAAAATTATTTAATAAGATCGAGCTCAAAATGCAAGATAACTGTGTAAATGTCATTACCAAAAAGCTACAACAAATAATACTTAATAGAGAAATTTTAGATACATTCACTTCAAGGTGGGTAATAAGGATACCTCCATCACTATTACTGTTTAACGTGATAAGAAAGGTCCTGGTTAACACTATTATAAAGGGAAAAATAGGTATAAGGATAGGAAGGGAAATAATGAAACTCATTATTTTCGGATAATATCACCCAGAAGAGTTAAAATCAAGAGAGGAACTATTAGGAGTTTAGCAGGGTTGGTGGATTAAAGATTAGTCTACAAAAGTTAATAGCATTTACTACACTAGCAATCAAAGGTAAATATTGTATAAAATATTAGGAACAAAATTATAAAGTCTCTAGGAATTAACCCAAGAATACATAAAACTTTTAAGGAGAAACTTTAATAAGGAACTAGAACAGGACCTAAATAAATAGAAAAACTTTACATATTCTTGGGATAAGATTACTTATAAGAATGTCAGTTTTCTCCATTTTTAACATATAAATTTAAAGTGCTGTCAAAATTCCAGTTGGTTTATCTGACAAACTCAGTCCTCCAAATCTAAAATTTATATGGCAGGCAGGATAAAGCTTGTGAATAGCTAAATCAGTCTTAAAGGTATGCTTTAATTGGACTTGCCTAGCAGAATTTAAAATACTCTTTCAAAGCTGTAGCAATAAAAACTAGTGTAAGAACAAAACAACAACAACAACAAAATGGACTGGGGGAACAGTGGAGACTTCCTGTGTATATATGTTCAGAACTTAAAGGTGGCATCGGAAGTCACTGGAGATAGGAGTGATGTTGTTAGGGAGAGTGGTTCACTACATGAAGAACAAACCTACCACCACAAACAGGATGAACTCTGGATAAATTAAAGATCTAAATGCGAAAGGAACAACTGTAAAATTGGCCAGAGTCACTGTGGACTAGGCCATGGAAGATCGCTGGAGTGTCAGTGTAGCTGTGAGCTATGATGGTGAAAGTGTACTTTTGGGCTGTTAGTGAAAACAGCTTCTGGTGGTCTGTTTTGGAATAGATTTTTAAAAAATCATATGTTAGTTTGGTCGATGCTTACTAGATGCCAGTTACTGTGTTTTGTTTCTGTAAAGAGATCATACCTGGAACGGCAGCTATAATTGTAGTCACCTGATTGGATTCACTATACATCCTTCAAGATCTGTCTCCTCTGCACTGGCCAAATGGGCTGGTGAAATCAGAATGCCATACAGGCACCACCCCTGTATCTTTCAAGTCTTGGGAAGATGGTTTCCTCAGGGATATACTTTAGGTTTATTATTTGGTAGGAGGGGGCACATCTAAGGGAGGTTACTTGTCCCTTCCTATACTGATGGCCCTAACTCACCCCTGAAGTTGGAGACGAGACCTGGAACTTGGGGTTTGGCAGCTACAAACTCTCACACCTCTAACCTTACTTTCCAGAACCAGCAGCAGCTGCAGTATATCCTTTCCTCGCCGTGACCTTCCAAGTCTCACTCAGGTGTAATTATTTAGTTTAACTTTCCATTCTGTGTTAGTCAGTTTTCTATGATGATAATCACCAAATCTCAGGAGCGTACAGAACAACAAAGGTTTATTTCTTGCTCATGTATGTTAGTGGCTGACAGTTGACTGGCTCCTCACAAGTCATCTCATTCTGAAGAGCAGCTCTTTTCTGGGTCCTGTCATTCTTGGCAGAGGCAAAGAGAAGAGTGGCCAGAAACACAATGGGTTTTACAGCTTCTGCTCAGAGGTCGCAAATGTCACATGTGCTCATTGTCCAAACATGAAACAGAATAGAGTGGTTTCGTCTGAATGTGTTGGGGGGTGGGGGCAAGGGTCTAGGGTATGAGGATAAAAGGCAAAGAATGGATGGATGGAGGGAGCAAGGGCGGGAAGGAAGGAAGGATCTTGAGTTGACTGATTGATCATACCATGCCGTGATCTCTTGAGAATTATTAACTCAGTGCACCAAAAATTTTTGTTCTCCAGTATTTTATTTTATTTTATTTTATTTTTTTTTAAAGCTATTTCCATTTTTAATTATTATTTTTAATATATTTTATTGATTTTTTACAGAGAGGAAGGGAGAGAGATAGAGAGCTAGAAACATCGATTAGCGAGAAACATCGATCAGCTGCCTCCTGCACATCCCCCACTGGGGATATGCCCGCAACCCAGGCACATGCCCTTGACCGGAATCGAACCCGGGACCCTTCAGTCCGTAGGCCGACGCTCCATCCACTGAGCCAAACCGGTTTCGGCCTCTCCAGTATTTTAAATTGAACTCAGTGAAATTATTATTTCTTTAAATTTGTGGTTCAAAAATGTGTTCAATATTGACTGTTGAATTGAATGAAATTAACTGATTTTTATTACATCATAAATAAATTTGCCCTTTACTTGATTGGGCCCTGCCAGTTTTCATATTGGTAGATTGTTTTACAGTGGATCAGTTAATATATTCAGGTCTTAAAATACACAGTTTGCAGCATCTGTGGTGGTTATTCGGCATCTTGCCTTCCGGGTTAGTGGAAGTTGTGCTGCAGCAAGCATCCCGATGCTATTGATCGACTGGCTGCATTCTGGAATCTTACTGGGGATCTTGTCTTGCCATTTTTTTGATATGTATTATACAAAGTGGCATTGATGAAACTGTAAGAGAAAGACATTGTAACGTTTATGTAAGTGCCAGTCTCAAATCCCTAAAGAGAATGAATGCTGTTTATTTCCCCTTTAAACTGTCACCCTATAAGTTGTAGACCATTGTAATTACATTTTAAACTGTTAAGTGTTATATAAAAAAATACTGTTGATAGCCTTCTGTAATATGTCTTGATAGGGCAAGCTGGGCTTTAATTTTTCTTACACTTTTGTGGACATTTGGCTATTAACCTCTGTAGATAGACTTACAGAGATATGTAATTTGTAGTTGCAGG